TTTGAAATTTGGAACAAGTATTACTTTTTACCTCCCATGTTTATAATATATATAGGCCGTAGTTTTTAGAATTGGAACAAACACTACTTTTTACCTCTCATGTAGAAAATATATATAGGCTCATTATAGTTTTGAGAATTGGAACAAATATTACTTTTCAAGTGTACCCCAATTTTTTTTGAAAAAAAAATGCTTTACCTTTTAATTATCTTTATTTATTGTTTATACCTCCCACAATCGTAACTCCTAGACACCAAGAAAATAATAATAGAAATAGATGTTTTAAAAATTAAAATACATAATCAACACCCAGATCTGGACTCCGAAGACTTTCAACATCAGGGGAGGAGGGGAGCCATCACAAAACTCCGGAAGGCTCGAAAAGATACCCTGAGCCTCATTGGCTGCATTCAGCCTCGTAGAAGCTTCACCATAGGCGCTGTGTTTGAAGGTTCGAGAGCTATTGACTCTGGCATAACAACGACCACTCGGGTCTGGAGGCTGGACGCGGTGGACCAGCTACCCCGACCAGAGTTGAGAAGATAGACGAAGCAGCAACCCAGCTCCGACCATGTCTCCCGCAAAACTCTATGTGGAGATGAAATGGTGCCTCTAGTCGTAGCTTAGTCAAGGTAGTTTGGAACACTCGGAGGCCAACCGATAGGAAGAGGGGAGGCATGGCAGGATGACAACGAGTGAGTTTGTTTGTTTGTTTGTTTTTTCTTTTTCTTTTTTAAGGGCTGCGAGATTGTGGTTGAGTGATATTCAAATGTTTCAATTGTTTCTCACTAGTTAGTAGTTACGTATGAGATTTTTTGTATTTTAAAATTTTGTTTTAAATTAATTTTGCATTTTATTTAACATTGATAGCTTAACTAGACGTGGCCACGGGCTGCCTGACCCGGACCCGACCCGGTCAAACCTATTGACCACGGGTTCGAGCCCGGACCGGATTTTTGATGGGCAGTTTCAAGGTCATTCTTTCATGACCCTGGCCCCGCGGGCCGGGTTGATCTGGGCCGATGGCCAATTTGTTTTTTTTATTATTCTATATTTTTTCTTTTAAAAATGACCCGACCCGGCCCAGTTAACCAGGCCATTGACTCGGCACGAGCATAGGTCCGTGCCGGGTCCGAGTCCTTGTTTTCGAGCCCGGAGGCCCGGTGGGCCGGGTCGTGCCGTGACCCGACCTGTGTTTTGGCCACGTCTAAGCTTAACATATATAACTTTTTTAAATCAATTATGACCACGTGTGACATTTTCAATTTATCGATTTTATGTTGTCTAGTGTGTGATTGAATATGAATCCACTCAAAAAAATATATAATTTTTAATTCAGTAATTTTTTTAAGTCAACTTTAACTCAATATCACCATCTCCAATATTATCAATATAATTAAATAACACCAATAAACCATTCTTATACATCACATCAATTTTAATTCACTATTTATTCACTCACATAATTTTAATTAATCATCATTTCACATTACATCTCTCATATTTTTACATCAAATTAACTTCAATTATTATTTTTAAATATTTTATTTTAATATAAACTTAGAATCTCAATAATAGTTAACCATACACCTTTTTCTTAAAATTAATTATAGTTAACAAAAAAATCAATCAAAACCAAATCAGATTTATATCCCCATCTCACCCCTACCAATTCCAAGAGTTCAAAGAATCAAAATGTAAACTGAGAATTTCGTCTTGTTTAGGTACATTTTTATATTATTTAGCGAAGTGATTCGCATTTAACTTTTCTACATATCTCAAACTCTAAGAGCATTTCCAATGTGACTTTTGACTTTGCAAAAAATTATACATATCATCAACTTTTGAAAGTTTATTACTAATTTATTCTCCAATGCATCTTGTCATTAGCTCTTTCATGATGATATGGATGACATTTAATGTTAACAATTTTGAACTCACTTTCTAATATCTAACACCATGTTAAACATGATGACTCATTAATTCACTTTATATTTGGTTTAATTTTTTATTATTCTTGTATTAATGAATTATTATAATTGGTCCACCTATACAAATAAATTCTTATCAAATTGATGCATTGGAGATACTAGTTTGATTCAAATTTTTAGTCTTTTAACATTATTCCTATGTGGATTAACATTACAATCATCAATTGACATGTGTTAAAAATTATTGCCTTTCAAAACCATAGCATTGAAGATGCTCTAAAGGACTTTAATTAAACACATTATAAACGTGATTTATTAAAATCATTTCGAACAATTTGACCAAATACCTTTCCACTCGAAAGGAAAAATAATATTTTGATTTATTAAAGAAACATATGTTTAATGATAACATTTGATGATAGTCAAAGGTTTTAAGAGATTGAACTGGTAAACTTAGGAAATTCAGTTAGTTGGCTTATAACTAGTGTTCAATCTTGTTCACTTACACAATATTATAAGTCAATATGAATATCTATAAAGCACCATTATCACAACATTATAAGTCAATATGAATATCTATATCTATATTTATATCTATATCTATATAGAATAGACCAATTCATCTTGCCAAAATTGACTATACTTTTTTCCGCCAACATTTTTCGGTTAAATTTGGAAATATTTTTTATTAAGTCATTTTATATTCATTTGGTAATTAAGTCATTGTATATTCACACATAATATATTGATTTTTTTGCACATTCATGTATGATATCTATATCTATATCTATATAATAGATCAATCCATCTTGCCAAAATTTACCAATTAACGAATTAAAAAATATAAATTATTATTATTATAAGAATGTTTACGCTTTAAGGTTTGCTATGCCATTAAAACTAATTAGCTATTTAAAAAAGTGCACTAAAAATATTTTTTGACTTAGAGTTTATTATAAGTGTCTAACTTCCATAAACCTTTTATTGTGAATTCGTAATGATTTAATATAAGTAATAATTGTTATATTACTAATTATATTATTACACTTAATTAATAAGAAAAATATAATGATAAATTTCAATATTTAGATAGAAAAAAAGAGCAGATAATTTTTGTGATATTATTAATTAGTTTTTTATAATTATATATATGTATATATATAACCAACAATGTTAAGCAAATCTAAAGGTTACACGAGTATATTTGTTCATACTTCATGCTGAAGCATTTATGCATACAATATAAATTAATCATATAATATTTCATAGAACAAAAAGTTTAATTAAAAAAGAGAGAAATACTTCACATTTCTAATAGACCTTTCTCACACAATTGACAACAAAAATATGAGAAATCAGCAGAGTCAATAAAACGTTGACTGTTGTATATTCAGTCGTTGGCTGCTGTGTATTCGCACATTTGTGCATTTTGATTTATAATATAATTTATCGTTTTGNTTACTAATTGACAAATGTCATTTTAGCATAAAATAATATATATCAAATGAATCTTGTGGCCTCCTTCTTAGTCTTACAACTAACCACATTATCCCGCGTTTGTTTTAGTAAAAAGAAAGCATGAAATCCGATTATAAGTTATAACAAACATGTCTTAAAAATTATATTATCGATTAGCTGTAAAAAAAAAAAAAATTATTATCGATTAAGCAAAGGCGGCTATAAATGAGTGAGTTTCAAGTTCATCTCAAATGCTTATTAGCAACAAATACAATGGCTTTACACATGTCCAATTCGCAGCCTGTAAATCCAATTTAGTAGCTCCGATTTATCTCCTCCATACGTCTCCTTAGTAGCTCCGATTTAGCAGCCCCACTTATTCATTTCACCTCTCTAATCTATCCAATTGTGTTATAGCTTCTCACGCGCACGCACGCACATTCATCGTGAGCGCCGCCCCTTGTGATGGTCGATGATCTGTCGAGGACGATCGAGTGGTGCGGCGGAGCTTTTCCCGTAATAATTGATTGATGGCGGCTAATAAAAAGGCACTCGAGGGCTTATCGAAAGGGCTGATGGAGGAAGTCCGGCGATGGGGTTCCATGAAGCAGACCGGAGTTAGCCTCCGGTACATGATGGAGTTCGGGTCCCAACCTACGCCCCGGAATCTCCTCATTTCTGCTCAGTTTCTCCATAAGGAGCTCCCTATTCGAATCGCCCGTCGGGCTATTGAGCTCGACTCCCTTCCCTATGGCTTGTCTCATAAACCCGCTGTTTTGAAGGTATATTATTCAGGTCCCCGCAAAGATTGATTATTACGGTTGTGGGTCGTTTTCTTTTTTTTTTTTCCCCCATTTTTCTTGACATTGGGTTTTGTTGCGATTATGTGATATTTGTTTCTTGCTGGGTGATTGTTAGAAGTGATGGTAACGGGTATGTGTAGTGATGCTGGTGGGGGTGTTTTGTTGAAGGAGTGTGTGTGTGAGAGAGTGATTAATTTTACATTAATTTTAAGAAAAATGCTAAATTGTCATGCATTTTGATTAATTGATCTTGTTTCCTGTTAAAAAGGAAGTGGATCCTCTGTCTCTTGATGCATTACTCTCTTTCGAACCTCAGATGCTTTTGAGCTTATTTGTAATGCATTTTTTTTTTTTTTTTGCAAAAATTTTGTAATGCATTTAGTTCTGCGTGTTATACTTGCCGTGTGAGTACTGTAATGGAAGTCTTCAGTGGCGTTTTCATAATACGGACTTGAGCACTATTTCCATGTTCTCTAATTGAGTAAAATGTTGATGATCTGTAGTGAGCAATAGATTGCCACTTTGATTGGTCAATGGAGTGGTTTCATGGATCATGGTGACGCCTTGTAAATATGATAACATCATGTGGATATTAATCAATGATGCCTTTTCCGTTTTAGGTAAGAGATTGGTATTTGGATTCTTTCCGTGATCTCAGGTCCTTCCGAGATATTAAGGATAACAATGATGAGGTAGACTTTACGCAAATGATTAAGATGATTAAAGTTAGGCACAACAATGTGGTCCCTATGATGGCTTTGGGAGTGCAGCAGTTGAAGAAAGATCTGAATCCTAAAATCAATTACATGGATTTCGATGAAATTCATCAGTTTTTGGATCGGTTTTATATGTCTAGAATTGGGATTCGCATGCTCATCGGTAACTGCTTCTCTTTGGCATGCTTGCTTTCTTGTCATTCAACATCCGATTCAGTCTTCCAATTTTATCTTTGGTGCTGGTGGGAAGTTGTGCTTACTACTTTTGTTGTCCCATTTGCAATTATGATAATTTCAGGACAGCATGTGGCATTGCACGACCCAAATCCTCTTCCTGATTGTGTTGGATACATACATACAAAAATGTCCCCTTTAGATGTTGCGAGAAGTGCTAGCGAGGATGCACGTTTTATTTGTCTCAGAGAGTATGGTAGTGCACCAGAAGTTAATATCTATGGAGACCCTAATTTTACATTTCCGTAAGTCATTCAATTCTGTATCTCCAGTTTAATGTAATTCTTGGTTGCAGAGCATACTATTTGGTATTTGACTTCCGAATGTGTTCATTTTCGTGGATAGTTTATGTGGACTTTTTGAATTTCAAATTATTCCCATTATTTACTTTTAATCTGTTTGCACGTCAGTTATGTTCCAACACACTTGCATTTGATGGTGTTTGAGTTGGTTAAGAATTCACTGCGTGCTGTTCAAGAACGATTTATGGACTCGGACAAGGTTTCACCTCCTGTCCGAATAATAGTTGCTGATGGCTTGGAGGACGTAACAATTAAGGCAAGGCTCCAAAATTTGAACTGTGACTTGTTCGACCAAAAATATGAAAAGTGTCATGTTCGTGTGTTTTTCTTTTGATTATCTATATGTGCATCTTAACATAGGTTTTCATTTATAACTATGAGCTAATAGTATGTGTTTCCGTAGATTTCTGATGAAGGGGGCGGAATACCGAGAAGTGGTCTTCCGAAAATATTTACATATCTCTACAGTACTGCAAAAAACCCTCTCGATGAGCAGTCAAGCACTGACCTTGAAACACCAACAACCATGGCTGGATATGGTTGTGGTCTTCCCATAAGCCGTTTGTATGCTAAGTATTTTGGAGGGGATATGCAAATTATCTCCATGGAAGGATATGGTTAGTAATTGTTCTGTGTATTTTATTTTTCATTTTTAATTTTTCTGTATAAACATGTTGTGCCTGTGATGAACTGCAACAACTACAGCCACTCTTTATCTATTCTTTCTGATACTTATTTCTTGTGTGTGTCTTATTGTTGGGCATTCAAGTGGGAATAGTTTGGGCATTACATTCCTATTACATAGAGATAGTTGGGATTAACTAATGATAGGTTTATATAAAGAAAGTGTTGCAGAACTTTTCTATGCCTACATTTATACAAGAATATCAAGATAATATGTTAGAAATATTTTAGGAGTGTCCATTTTATTGCATTCACATAGAATCCCTAGGCTTCTGAGACATATAGATCATATTTAGCTTTATGTATTAGATGCTATCTAAAATTTGATATACGTTTTTTTTTTTTGCTTGTAATACAGGAACAGATGCTTACCTTCACTTGTCTCGACTGGGTGATTCGCAAGAACCTCTCCCTTGAGTGCTGATGAGGCTTGAAAAAACCCATTTGTTCCTGCTTCTGTAAATTCTTTGTGGTAGACAAGTATTTGAATGGAATATGTTGTCACACTGTCATTTTATGAGGCACCTATTTTTGGCCTGTTTTGGAATGTTTCATGTATAACAAGAGTCACACAGGTGAAGGAAAGGTAGGCCCTTTGGATAGCTCATTCGTAGAATTGTTGTGAATAATGATGTTTGTTATTGGCATATTAATGGCCAAAGAGTTGGCCATAAAGCACTTGGAAGAACACAACTTCACTTCACACAAAAGAATTGCATTATCATCTGGTGGCAGCACAGTAGTAATTTAAATTATGACAAAGGAACAAAGTTGAGCAGTAGAAATTGGAGTTTCATGCTAATCGACCTACGCCGCTACGCGGATATGTCGACAGACAAATTGATAATGCAATCTGTGTTGATAATGATTATTGCTAATAGCCATTGAAAAAGTTGGGAAAAAAACTTAGACAAACCTGATCTTTGCCTGTTTTGTAAATTTGCAACCTAATCTTTTTATTTTGATAAATAGCAACCTGAACTACACGATTTTGTGAAAAAACAACCCCAGACCGTCGGAGAACATAAAATTAACCGGAAAATTAGTCCGTTGAGCTACAGATCAGATAATTAAGGGGCACTTTGGTCATGTCATTTAATTTATAAGGACATCCTTGTCCTTTCCCCCAATACTCACGCTTTCCCGCTATTTTTGAGTTAGAATTAGGGAAATTAGGGCAAGAATCTGCCATTTTTTCCTTTCCTTCGAGCAGTCTGCACAAATCAGAAAATTAGGGCAGATTTCTGCACGCTCACTTGGCATTCTGCAACTCAAAAATGGGTTGGAAGATTCGCGATGAACAAACTGATATTCCTCCCGATAGAATGACGCCAGATTACGGCGAGTTGATTGTAGTTAATTACTGTATGTTCTTTTGCCTTTGTAAATGAGTTTGGGGTTATGAATTTTGTCGACCAATTTATGATTTTTTGAAAAAGTTCATATCGGTGTTGAAACATTTTTTTTGCTTACAGGTGTTAACTCCGCATTATTTACAATTAGGTTTTATCACAATGGCTCATTGGCTAACCTAGACGGTACACATTATATGGGCCAGAATTGTGGTATATCTCATATTGATTTTTGTGATCGTGATGAAATTAGTTTGGTTGAGCTTCAGTGTATGGCTAAGGATATAGGTTTATCTATGATTAAGTCATTTCACTGTAGTAAAACTGAAATCCATGAATGTAAGGACCTTTTTATCCTAGAGACTGATAATGATGTTTGCAACATGGTTCAGTGGGTTGATAAGAACAGCATGATTGGCATATATGTTGAACATGAAAATGAGAAAGAGAATGGAATATTTTCTGAACTTCCTGTCATAGATGAGCCTTTACCTTATTGTGGGGATATGGATTTATGCGATGCATATAGTGTAGAGGGGGAGGTTCCACCAGAAGTAGACAATGTAAATGGGGAGGGGTTAGAGAACATTACTGATCAGGTAGAGCTTGATAGTGAGTATGAGCAATCTGTTGGTTCAGATTCTGAGTATTCTGATGCATTATATGAGAGTGATGAAGAGATTTATGATGAAGATGATATTCTCTTTGATGGTAATGTTGATGATGAGGTGGAATGGGGGGGGCCTTAATTTGAATATGGGCATTACTGAGAGCTCTAACATTCCTGTCCCTGATCTAAATTTGAGAAAACAGCAAAACAAGCACCCTGTGTTCAATAATGAATTAGACATGAAAAATCCTAGCTTTGAGTTGGGAATGCAATTCACTGACATTCCTACTTTTAGGAAGGCTGTTAAAAATCACTCAATTATGCAAGGTAGGCAAGTCACTTTCACTATTAACTTTAGCTACAAGGTGCAGGCAAAGTGTAAACATAAATCATGTCCATGGGTCATCTATGCATCTAAGCTTGGAAATAAAGATACTGTCCAAGTTAAAACCTACAATGGTAGGCACAGATGTCCAAGGACACAAAAAAACTCTCATGCTACTGCTACTTGGATAGCCAATCAATACAAAGATAAGATGCTAAGTGATCCAAAATGGCCAGTGGAGAGTATGGTGGCAGTAATGCAAAGGGAAGTGAAGCTGATTTTCAACAAATGGCAGATGTATCAGGCCAAAAAAATTGTGAAAGCCATAGGTGTTGGGACTGATGCTGAGCAATATGGAATGTTGTGGTCATATGCAAAGGAATTGATAAAATCAAATCCTGATACCACAGTCAAAATTAAGAGCAAGTTAGTGGAAGGTAAGCCAATATTTAAAAGAATGTACATTTGTTGGGGTGCTTTGAAGAAGGGTTTTAGGGAAGGATGTAGACCTGTTATTTGTTTAGATGGATGTCACTTAAAAACCTCTTGTGGTGGAATCTTGCTGACAGCAGTTGGTATAGATGCAAATAACTGCATGTACCCATTTGCTTATGCAGTGGTGGAACAAGAAAACACAAAATCTTGGCACTGGTTTATAGAGTTGCTGAAGGCAGATCTTTGTATTCAAAACAACCACAGTTGGACTATAATGTCTGACAAACAAAAGGGTCTAATTAATGCTGTTGAGACTCTTATGCCCGGTTGTGAACATAGATTTTGTGTTCAGCACCTATACAACAATTTCAAGGCTTCATTTAAAGGTGTTGCTCTGAAAAGCATATTGTGGAGGGCTGCCAGGTCTACAAGAGTTGTTGATTTTCATTCTGTCATGACTGAACTAGAAAAAAGGGATAAACAAGCATTTGACTGGTTAGTTAAAAAACCTGCAGCACAATGGTCTAAGTCACATTTTGGTTACCAAGCTAAAAGTGACATTTTGTTGAACAATCTGAGTGAGAGTTTTAACTCTTTAATTCTCAGAGCTAGAAGTAGTCCTATCGTTCATATGCTTGAAACTATTAGGATGATACTCATGAAGAGAATGTATATGAGGAGGGACCAAATGTTGAATTATAATGGAGTCATATGCCCCAAAATTGTGAAGCTGTTGGAAGAACTCAAAAAAAGGTCCATGGATTTCATTGCAAACTGGAATGGGATGCATGAGTTTGAGGTAGAAGGGCCTTATGGAAACAAGTTTAAGGTGCATATTGGAGAAAGAACATGTTCATGCAGAAAATGGGAGCTTACAGGGATACCATGTGAACATGCAATTAGTGGCTTGTTTTTTTTGGGACATGATCCAGAGAATTATGTGGATAGATGGTACTCAAAAGAGGCCTTTTTGAGGGCCTACTCAACAATGATGGGGGCAATTAATCCACCTGATGAATGGCCACATGTTGATGTGCATCCTCTACAACCTCCTCCACATTGTAAGATGTCTGGGAGGCAAAAAAAAAACAACAGGAGAAAAGCCCCTGATGAGGTACAAGATAAGCTTAAACAAAAGAAGGAAGCTAAAGTAAAACTCAGTAAAAAAGGGACCACTGTGAAATGTTCTTTATGCCACAAGGAGAACCACAATATGAGAGGGTGCCCACTGAAAAAGCTCAACCATTCATCTCAGCAGGAGCAGGTAGCTACAACTGAGGCAAAAAATAAGGGGCAGGTAACTAGTAACTACTTCAGCCTATGTTTGTAATTATTTATCTCAGCAGGAGCAATAAATGTTCTTTATGTGAATGTTTGAATGTCTAAATGTAGGGAAAAAAGAGAAAGATATCTGATGGGGAAAATGTACAATCTGAAGAGTCTTTCATACTTCAGAGTCATGGTACACAAGTCTCACATTCCCAGGTAATATATTACCTCACGTCTTATAAATATTTCTTTGAAAAACCATTCATTGAATATTTATGGGTTTTCATTGTAGCAGAGCAGTATTATTCCTATATCAAGCAGTGGGACTATGAAAACTCTTGGATTAAAAAAGAAAAAATTCCAGGTAAATATTCTTAAAAGGTTTTAGTTCAATTTTTTATTTTCTGTTTATTTTTATACACTTGATTTCCTTGTTTAGATGAAAAGGCTTATTCCTGAAAATATGAACAACCAGAAGAAGACATTATGGAGGCCACCTGAGGTATTTCATGGATCTACTTTTTCCAACCAAAAAGGAACATCATCCAAGAATCAAAGTGTGCAGGGGACACAATAACCAGTCATGTTTGGATTGTTTTGAAAAATTTAGGGAACTTTGATTGTAGTTGGCATGTTAGATGTACTTTTGAGGCTTTTGTTGGATGTTAATGTATTGATATGAAATACTTTTTCACTTTATTGTGGATTAGACCATTGAAACTCTTATGAATGAAAACCCTTGATGTTTTGCTAATGATATAAAACTTTTGCACTTCCATGTGTTGTAGTATTAATTCTTCTTTGCTGTTTTGGTTTATTGCAACAGTGCTGAGTTTTGTAGTTTTGGTTTGGTAGTGTTCTTGTTAAGGTTCCAAGAGTTTTTAATGGTTTAAACAGTTTGTTGTTTTGCTAATGATATAAACACTTGATGGTTTGTTGCTGTTTTGCACTTCCAAGAGTTTTTAATGGCTGTTTAGTTTGCTGTTGGTTTGGTGACTTATGTGTCAATGCAATTACAATTTTTCAAGAAAAAAACTGATAGTATATCTGCATATCTGCAACTACAAAGCAAAGAAAACAGAAGGAAACATGGTCATTTTTACAAGACAAAATCCCAACTTCACATTACAATAAAATATTGTTCACAACTGCAAAGGAAACATGGTCAATTTTAACCAATCCCAACTTCACATTACAATAAAAATATTGTTCACAACTGCAAAGGAAACATGGTCAATTTTAACAAATCTCATAACTACTACATTGCAACACACTGAATAAGAACCCAAGAAAACAGAAGTTCATGAACAAATTACTACATTAGATTACCCCTTACAATAAATTAGGACAAATGAAAAAAAAAGCTCTATGAACAAACATCGCTCCCTAAATCTCTTGCTCTTTATAGTTGCTTCAAGTTTCTCAACTTTTGCCAACATTTGTTTTTGTTCCACTTCAAGATTATTAACATCTGCTTGGAGCATCTCAGCTTCAGCTTCAAACTTATTTGCTCGTCTCAACAGCCCGGGAATGATTTGGCAAGCCCTAGGACAAAGTGGTCTCTCAATCCATACAAAATAAGTGCAACCTCCCTTCTCCTACATGATTAAAAACCTTAACAAAATTAGCTATAATGGAAAAATCTTCTTCACGTGAAAAATTATTCTTCTTCAACTGTAAATCAACTTTTAAAAAATTATAGTTTCAAAATTTCTGGGGAAAAAACAGAGAGAAAGCATGAAGAGCACAAATGCAGAAGATTGACCATAACCAACGTAATGAATCCCTGCAAGAGCACATAACGTGGGAAAAACATGAAAAATAATGACTGATACACCATGTAATGGATCCCTGCAAGAGCACCAACGTAATGAAAGTAAATTTGATTCAAATACATTTGAGTTTCATCTATATACACCATGATTTATATACACCCATCTCGATTTCTTATATACACCCATTCAGATACACCATGTCCAAAACCCCTCTCGATTTCACCCAAATTAAAAAAATTAGGGTTTCAAAATTTGAAGAACACACCTTAAATTTTTCACATGAAATATATCTTCTTCCAGGATTGGCGTCGCTCCATGATGTTCTCGTCACCACATTTTTCCCACAACGGCAGAAACGTTCCACAACGAATTCGGCGGTTTGCTGCCACTCCATTGTATCTGCAGGGAGAAGTTTTGAAAGAGGAGGAAGGCAAAATGGAAGAAGATAAATCGGGTACGATCTCTTTTATTCTTCTTTTTGATTTTTGATTTTTTATTTTTTTTTTAAATTACCAAAACACCCTTATTAACCACTTTATTTCAAATTTCCGGCGATTCAACGGTCTGGGGTTGTTTTTTCACAAAATCGTGTAGTTCAGGTTGCTATTTATCAAAATAAAAAGATTAGGTTGCAAATTTGCAAAACAGGCAAAGATCAGGTTGGTTTACATTTTTTTCCCGAAAAAGTTTGGTTTGTAAAATGAAATCTTCACAGACAAGTTCTTAATTTTCACAACATAAAAAAAAAAAAAAAAAAAATGAGGAAAATCGTCTGCAACTCCAAATTACATGTTCGGTAAGCAACTCCAAAGTTGTTGCTTGCCATTAAGGTTATTTGAGAAAAAAAATTTCAATTGCAGCTTTAATGGTTTATTATGTATGTAGTAATAATAACCATTTCGTATTTGTATGAAATAAAAAAAAATTACTAAAAGGCGGCATCAATTTGAAATACAAAATACATGTGAATTAAAGAATATATTGAAATTTATGGATGTTTCTTCTTATATTGTAACAAGAATTACAAATTCATCTAGAAATATTTTGCTAACCCTCTACATCTTACTTATGCATTCATAGGGAGACCTTCAAGGTACCATTAAACAAAATGATAGAGATATCAAGAAGAATCTTGTGGAGGAAAAAATTTATGTTCAAATTAATGGAAAGCTCTATTTTGTGTTATCAGATGCGTAAGCAATGATCTTCGTTTAAAAACATTAGTTTGTGAATATCACTGTAACTGGTCATACCATCAATCTATTTATAATGAAAATTCATAATATTGGAATAAATTTTATTTTTTTTTAAATTTATTTGCAAAAACATACTTTTTTAATTAATTAATAACTTACTAAAATAATTGTTACTGAACTATATTTTCCATGCATCACACGAGTTTAACACTAGTTATATTTAAAATCATAAATTAGATAATGAACATATCACATTTTATAAATTTGAGCATTATATATGAATCGCTATATAGATTGAACAAAATTGAATTGATAATGTAAATTTTACATATTTAAAGTGTCCTGACCTATTAATTAATTAAAAAATATAAATTATTATTGTTATAACAATTGTTTACCAATTAACGTATTAAGAAATATAAATTATTATTATTATAAGAATGTTTACACTTTAAGGTTTCCTATGCCATTAAAACTAATTAGCCATTTAAAAAAGTGTGCTAAAAATATTTTTTGATATAGAGTTTATTATAGTGTGTAACTTCCATAAACTTTTTTATTGTGAATTCGTAATGAGTTAAGTTAATTAATAATTATTATATTGCTAATCCCCTTTATATATAATTTCAGAATGCGCTGAGCTACGTCGCAAAGCTTCAGAATTCTATTTGGCAAAAAATCATGCTTTCGAGTTAGACTTGGATATAAATTAATATTTATATTAATTGTATTTTAATATCGTTTCCTATTATAACCATTGAATTGAAAATATATTTTAAAAGTTGATAACTTTTGTATTTGTTATCGCTTTTACATATATAATAAATCAAATTAATCATCTTTTGATGAGCTTCGATTTGACATTCATATTGTATATATAAAAAAATAAATTATATTTATCTTTATAATAATAAAAAAATTATTTATTAAAATTAATTAAAAAATAAAATTATTATCATTTAATATATTTATGTTTAATGTAGTTATATGTTATAAGGTAGAACATTTATTATAATATAACACATATAAGTCACACAAGTAACATGTGTCATACTAAAATATATAATAATATATACTCCATTCTATTTTAATTATTTGTCACTTTAGCTTAATTGATTGTTGATAAAATAATGTCGTTTTAGATATTTTGTTCATATTTTTTTATTCTTCCATCTAATACACAGTGTCTCTTCATATCCCATCTCGATCGTTTCCCATAACATCCATTAAATAGGGTTAATATTGTCAAGAAAAAAAATATTAATTAGTGTGTTGCATTTGAATTGATATTATGAAGTCCGTTTATATTTTACTATTTGTTTATATATATATATAATACAAAAACAATAATTTTACTATTATATATATATATATATAATACAAAACAATAATATATATTCGTATAAATAAAATTTAAACTTATTTATCAAACTAAATAAAATTATATCAAATAAAACTATAAATTATATTATAAAGTAATAGAAATTTGTATGTATTCTTTTAAAATGATATTTATTTCAAACCTAATTGGTATGTTGTCAATGTAATAAAAATAAATAATTATTTATATAAATTCTAAAATTACATATAAAGTTAAAAAACTTTGAAACGCGACTGATACGACACTTGATGTATTAGGCATCTAATTAAGTAAAAAAAATAATTTATTTTTTTAATATTAAATAAACATATTTTACACTTATGCATATATATATATATATCTATATATCACCATATTATTTCTATTTATTTAAGATATACATTTTTGTACCTATGTAATAGTAAATAATATCGATATTTTCATAAGATATAAGTAAAAAAATTCAACAAAGATTGACATTTTCATTTAATGTACGTGTGTTTTTTTATTATGATTAGAAAAATATAATTTGACAATTTAATTAAAACTCAAAGTAATATTTTATATAAAATTAAATTATTTTAGCTTTTAAAAGAATAAAAATTTTTACAAAAGTTTTCTAATTCAACACCCGTGTAATACACGGGTATTGTACTAGTTATATTATTACACTTAAGAAAATATAATGATTAATTTCCGTATTTAGATAGAAAAAAGAGCAGATAAATTTTGTGATACTATTAATTAGTTTTTTTATAATTATATATATTATATATATAGAAATGTTCTCCTACCTATGGTGGACACATGTTAATATGACCACCGCTTATGTGTCATGCAAACATTGGTGATGTATTTTTTTAATATATTAACATCACCAATGTGTGCATGTCACATACTTAATGCTGAAGTCTTTATGCATACAATAAAAATTAATCATATAATCTTTCATGGAACAAAAATTTTAATTAAACAAAAGAGAATACTATTTCACATTTCTAATAGACCTTTCTCACACAATTGATAACAAAAATATGAGAAATCAGCAGAGTCAATAAAACGTGATGCTTTGCATCCTCATTTTAAAACCCTCACGGAGATTACTAATTGACAAATAGCATAAAATAATACAATGGCTTTACTAACAAAGGAAAGCGTGAAATCCGATTATTAGTTACTAGTACAAATCCCGTGCGATGCACGGGTAAGAGATATTCATTAAAATATATAAAATTAAAATGCTCATTAAATAATATTTCTAAATTTAAAATAGGGAATCAATAATAGATACAATTTTTCTATATTAATTTATTTAAAATATTATATAAAATTTAAATTGTGTAAAATTATATAAAATATGTCAATTTAAAATTAGTACACAACCCATACGGTGCACGTAGTTCATAATATTTGTATTCAGAAATTTAATTTGACTATAATGTGATTCCATAAAATAATTATTTTGGTAAAATTTTATCCTATATTTAAAAATCTATGAGAGTAATAAGTACAGTTATAAAACTTAATATTGTTTTCACTAATTAAAATGAATTTATCTTTGTATAAACAATTCAAATAAAAAAAATTAAGTAGTTGAGTAATTATTAAAGGTAAAATTATTAAATAATTAATAATTTACAAAAGTTTTTAGTATTATAATAAAACAAACTTATTATATCAAGTCATATTTGACATTAACATAAATCGATATATGTCAAAAAGATAAGTATGGTTTTATTTTTAATTTTATATTTAAATAATATTTTATATATATAAAAAACATTAACTATTAATAATAATAATTTAATATATAATATATAAATTATTTTAATTAAAAAAATTGGGCTGAATAATATCATAAGAACGGGTTGATGGTTTCTTTTCAAGTCTGGGTGAGACAATGTAAAACCGGATTAGGCCCATGTATTTTTTCAGCCCCAATTTATATAAAGTCGGCCCAACACATTTTAAATACTATAATTATTGGGAAAATTGTTGATGCAAGTTTACTTATTGGTTCATGAATATCATTTTCAAACACATGTATATAATTTTGTATTCGTATTGACAACAATTTATAATAATATATCTACAAAGTACATTTGCCTAAATCTGTCCAGTAAAGAATGTTCCATGTTTTCTTTAATGAATTATATGTATAGAGTTCGAAAGTCGTCCAGTAAACAACTTTACTTTTTTGTTTAAAAAAATTACCTGAAATTGTTAACGATTTTAGTGTATATCGTCCATTTTTTGGTTGTATTTGTATAAACAGCAACATATCCTTTGATATTGATTTCTGTAATAACAATTTTTTTTGTTTATATGCATGTCGTGGCTCGGATACATGCTATCACAATAAATACCAAGAAAATACACAAACATATATCGAGTTCATATTTGAAGATGCATTTTTGCAAGAGAGGTGCGTTATCTATCAACCTTTGTGGTTCACCAATTATGAAAAGATATACTTCAAGTTTAGCTACATTTATATACTTTAAGTTAATATACATTGACTGATCTTATTGAATATCTCTAATGTCTGATTGATATTTGAGGTACATGCTAACATCCGAGATGGAAATGACAATTGAGGAGTCAATTCAGAAAGCATGCAACAGTAAAAAAATAGGTAAATAACATTACTATATCCACGGTGTACATTTCTCTGTGGTGTAGAAAATTTTCTATTAAAAAACTTTACTGGCAACAAATATACATCAAGATATATATAAAATTACTTTACAAATTTTGTCTAATATTCTTCTTTTATCGTAACATGTTTCTTTTTCTCTAATGCATGACAAATATGGAGAATCAAAAAAACTGTACATAAGATATGAAGAATTGAAACTCATGTTGTTTCTTAAGACAAACTAAAAGGTAATTTTATTTCGTTTATATAAACTATAAATGAGAAACCACTGTATATGAAACTTTTATATTTGACACATATCTATTTATTTTTACAACATAGATCATATGAGCCTAAGTAAATAGAAACAGGAAAATTAGGTAAAATAATTAATCAACATGACAATTGATTCATGCGATTGTTGTTTGCGCTTGCATTGTCCAGAGTCTTTTACTTGCTCTTTCATTGCTCTGCGTCTGTGGATATGTGCATTTAGCTGTTGTAATGTTTGATTTTATGCAAAATTTCTGTTGTTGTGGCCTGAACTTTTAACATTGCTTGTCCAAAAAGAAAATATAAATAACAATAAAAGCAAAGGTAGCACACATTAAATGATTTATAAACTGCATAATTTAAGAATCAAGTTTGGATGATTTTTTTTTTTGTTTAGGAAGAATCTACTGTGAGAAAATAGGTAGATAATTTATAATACCCCAATATTACATTCCATAGGCACACGTTTCTTTGATAATATTGAATGTTTCTTTGATAATATAGAATATAGGATCAATATTGACTTGGTTGTTTAGAAATATTTTTAAACACGTTTTCAGATTTTTACTAATGTTATCTAAAAAGCTTCTTATTCAAAATTTTCATACGACTGCCTCTAATGTTTATATTGCATTCTGTTCTATTTTTTTTTACATTAATATTGAATATGTATATTTTGATTGCCTATAACATTTTTTCTACATTGATTCTAACAATTACATTACATTATGTTCTTGCACATAAGGTAAAAATCATTACCTTCATCACACGTTTCATGTGCTTTTGGTTTCATGGTTTTTCCGCTCTTTAAATTATTAAGCTCGTTGATGATTTCTTTGTCGAATTGCTGCATATTCTGTTAATTTGTTGTTGCTGCATATAAAAATGAATTATGATCAAAGTATGATGCTTTCATTGATTAAAAGTAGGTAGATGATTAATAGTCTATAAGCATACCTTCATCAATATCTATGATTGATTGTGGTTTCCCAGATTCATGTTGTGATTTCTTTACAATCCTGCTGCTGCATATAAAAAATGAATTGTTTTATAAGAAGTATGATGTTGTGATGGATTGAGAGAGTTAGGGATACAGAAAATACAAAAATCTACCTGTTTATGTACGAAAAATAAACCATTGAAACCTATATATATTAGGATTGTAGATACACATGGTTTAATCATATTGTTTATTTTTGTCATTGATATTGTTGATATGCCAAATCAATTTGTTAATGATATTAATCCACACGTTTTTTATTGTGATAAAATATTGCAGATTTTGTTGCTAAAGTTCTTCTATAATAAATCGAGTAGGATATAATTGTGATTTAATATTGCAGATTGGTTGATCTTCTATTGCTAAGGAAAGGAAATTTTGAGGATTGGAAGATATTTTGTTTTGATTGGACCAGATTATTATGTATAACAATTACATTTACTTATTTAACTTCCTTTGTAATTGCCATATCAGACATGCATACAATCTAATTTATTTATTTACTTCTCGGTTTGTATCAATGATATCACATACAATCACACACAATTGAAAAAAATACCATCAACCGCAATTATATACATTCAGCCACTGTTATTGACCAAATCAATTCTTTACAGATTTTATTGACAATTGCAATTCGAATTTAAAAAATGACCGCCAAAACTTAAAAAAAAAAATAATAAAGAAAAAAATGAATTATTTTGGCTGGATTTTAACTACTATTACAGATAAATGACAAACTTTTTTATATTATTATAGATACAAAATTTAGTAATTTTAACACTTTTAGATGAATTTTTTTTTTATATTTCAAGTAAATATAATTTTTTAATATATATATATACCATAATTTTTCAATATATATTTTGTAATATATATATATAAATATATGGTATGTAATTTGATGCCACGTTAGTTGACCGACCTCTTGCGTCAGATATTGGAGAAAACATTTGAGATCATATATAAACGCAAGAAATATGATTGGAGGTTGTAACATTTTATTCGAATCTGAGTATATATTTTACAAAGTTTAGAACATGGGTTTTATTTGAATGATTGAAAAGAGAATGGAATAAAATTACGATTTACTTAAATAACATACTACTTGCTTTAAAACAAAAAAACAAATTTATCAATTAAAGTTTCATAATATAATACTTACCTTAATTATTTGTACGTTTGAATGGTAAGAGCCAAAAATAAATTTATCAATTAAAGTTTAATAATATAATACTTACCTTAATTATTTGCATCGTTTGAATGGTAAGCGCCGCAATAGTTGACCAAAATGATTCTATACTTTAATTAAATTGATTTTGTAATTTGAAAGTCACTTTTCAAAAAAATTACTAATAAAGGCATAAACGAATTATTTAGGCGGGAAAATAGTTACTCTTTCCGGTAAATGCCAAACCTTTTTATATTATTATAAATACTAACAAATATGTCTTAAAAATTATTACTGTATCGATTAGCTGTAAAAAAAAAATATTACTATCGATTAAGCAAAGGCGGCTATAAAAATGAGTGAGTTTCAAGTTCAACACAACAAATACAATGGCTTTACACATGTCCAACTCACAGCCTGTAAAATGTAAATCCAATTCCCTTTGCTTAATCTCCTCCATACGTCTCCTTAGCAGCTCCGATTCAGCAGCCCCGCTTGTTCATTTCACCTCTCTAATCTACCCAATTGTGTTATGGCTTCTCACGCGCGCGCGCGCACGCACATTCATCGTCAGCGCCGCCCCTTGTGATGGTTCGATGATCAGTCGAGGACGATCGAGTGGTGCGGCGGAGCTTTTCCCGTAATAATTGATTGATGGCGGCTAATAAAAAGGCACTCGAGGGCTTATCGAAAGGGCTGATGGAGGAAGTCCGACGATGGGGTTCCATGAAGCAAACCGGCGTTAGCCTCCGGTACATGATGGAGTTCGGGTCCCAACCTACGCCCCGGAATCTCCTCATTTCTGCTCAGATTCTCCATAAGGAGCTCCTTATTCGAATCGCCCATCGGGCTATTGAGCTCGACTCCCTTCCCCATGGCTTGTCTCATAAACCCGCTGTTGTGAAGGTATATTATTCAGGTCCCTGCCAAGATTGATTATTTTCTGGGTGTGGGTCCTTTTTTTCTTTTAACACCGGGTTTTGTCGTGATTATGTGATATTTATTTCTTGCTGGGTGATTGTTAGAAGTGAGGGTAACGGGTATGTGTAGTGATGCTGGTGGGGGTCAGGGGGTGTTTTGTTGAAGGAGTGTGTGTGTCTGTGTGTGTGTGTGCGAGTGAGTAATTTTACATTTAATATTAAGAAAGATGCTATATTGTCATGCATTTTGATTAATTGAACTCGTTTTCTGTTAAGAAGGAAGTTGATCCTCTGTCTCTTGATGCATTACTCTCTTTCGAACCTTAGATGCTTTTGAGCTTATTGGTAATGCATTTAGTTCTGCGTGTTCTACTTGCTTTGTGAGTACTTTAATGGAAGTCTTCAGTGGCGTTTTCATAATACTGACTTGAGCACTATTTCCATGTTCTCTAATTGAAGTAAAATGTTGATGGTCTGTAGTGAGCAATAGATTGCCACTTTGATTGATCATGGAGTGGTTTCATGGATCATAGTGATTCCTGGTAAATATAATAACATCATGTTGATATTAATCAATCTTGCCTTTTCCGTTTTAGGTAAGAGATTGGTATTTGGATTCTTTCCAAGATCTCAGGTCCTTCCGAGATATTAAGGATAACAATGATGAGGTGGACTTTACGCAAATGATTAAGATGATTAAAGTTAGGCACAACAATGTGGTCCCTATGATGGCTTTGGGAGTGCAGCAGTTTAAGAAAGATCTGAATCCTAAAATCAATTACATGGATCTGGATGAAATTCATCAGTTTTTGGATCGGTTTTATATGTCTAGAATTGGGATTCGCATGCTCATCGGTAAATGCTTCTCTTTGGCATGCTTGTTTTCTTATCATTCAACATCCGATTCAGTCTTGCAATTTTATCTTTGGTGCTGGTGGGAAGTTGTGCTTACTACTTTTGTTTGTCCCATTTGCAATTATGATAATTTCAGGACAGCATGTGGCATTGCACGACCCAAATCCTCTTCCCGATTGTGTTGGATGCATACATACAAAAATGTCCCCTGTAGACGTTGCGAGAAGTGCTAGCGAGGATGCACGTTTTATTTGTCTCAGAGAGTATGGTAGTGCACCAGAAGTTCATATCTATGGAGACCCTAATTTTACATTTCCGTAAGTCATTCAATTCTGTATCTCCAGTTTGATGTAATTCTTGGTTGCAGAGCATACTATTTGGCATTTGACTTCCGAATGTGTTCATTTTCGTGGATAGTGTATCTGGACATTTTGAATTTCAAGTTATTCCCATTGTTTACTCTTAATCTGTTTGCACGTTAGTTATGTTCCAACACACTTGCATTTGATGGTGTTTGAGTTGGTTAAGAATTCACTGCGTGCTGTTCAAGAACGATTTGTGGACTCGGACAACGTTTCACCTCCTGTTCGAATAATAGTTGCTGATGGCTTGGAGGACGTAACAATTAAGGCAAGGCTTCAAAATTTGAACTGTGACTTGTGTGACAAAAAATATGAAAAGTGTCATGTTCGTGTGTTTATCTTTTGATTATCTATTTGTGCACCTTAACATAGGTTTTCATTTATAACTATGAGCTAATAGTATGTGTTTCCGTAGATTTCTGATGAAGGGGGCGGCATACCGAGAAGTGATATTCCGAAAATATTTACATATCTCTACAGTACTGCAAAAAACCCTCTCGATGAGCAGTCAAGTACTGACCTTGAAACACCAACAACCATGGTACCAACAACCATGGCTGGATATGGTTGTGGTCTTCCCATAAGCCGTTTGTATGCTAAGTATTTTGGAGGGGATCTGCAAATTATCTCCATGGAATGTTATGATTAGTAATGATTCTGTGTATTTTTTTTTTCATTTTTAATTTTTCTGTATAAACATGTTGTGCCTGTGATGAATTACAACACCCACACTTTATCTATTCTTTCTGATACTTTTTTTTTTGTGTGTTTTATTGTTGGGCATTCAAGTGGGAAGAATTTGGGCGTTACATTTCTTTTCACATAGAGACAGTCGAGATTAACTAATGATAGGTTCATACCTGGAAAGTGTTGCAGAACTTTTATGTGCATTCATTTATACAAGAAAATCGAGATAATATGTTAGAAATATTTTACGAGTGTCCATTTTATTGCATTCACATAGAATCCCTAGGTGTCTGAAACATATAGATCATATTTAGCTTTATGTATTAGATGGTACCTAAAATTTGATCTACATTTTTTTTTTTTTTTTTTTTTGCTTGTAATACAGGAACAGATGCTTACCTTCACTTGTCTCGACTGGGTGATTCGCAAGAACCTCTCCCTTGAGTGCTGATGAGGCTTGAAAAAACCCATTTGTTCCTGCTTCTGTAAATTCTTTGTGGTAGACAAGTATTTGAATGGAACATGTTGGCACACTGTCATTTTATGAGGCACCTATTTTTGGCTTGTTTTGGAATGTTTCATGTATAACAAGAGTCACACAGGTGAAGGAAAGGTAGGCTCTTTGGATAGCTCATTCGTAGAATTGTTGTGAATAATGATGTTTGTTATTGGCATATTAATGGCCAAAGAGTTGGCCATAAAGCACTTGGAAGAACACAACTTCACTTCACACAAAAGAATTGCATTATCATCTGGTGGCAGTACAGTAGTAATTTAAATTATGACAAAGGAACAAAGTTGAGCAGTAGGAATTGGACTTTCATGCTAATCGACCTATGCGGATACGTCGACAGATCAGTCAACAAGACATAGGAAATTTTGTACAATCCCAGAAGGGTTCATATGTACGCGCATTAATGATAGATTTTGATTGCAAGCTTTGCCCTTTAAATGTCATTGTAGACGAATGGCATTGAGAGGGTCTCATCACTATCAATCTTCTGAAGCACTTTGCAATGTAGTAAAACTTGAAGCAGACCAAGTGACAGAAATGGCCTCAATAGATCCTCACCTCCAGTAAATTCCTTTTTCATTAAGTTCAATAGCCATATACTATTGTAAATGAATTTTGTAATTTTCTGCCCCTTCTCTATAAAGTCTCGAACACGGTTAAGCCTCATAAATAAAAACTTCTAGAATTTGGTCAATGCAATAGGTAGCCAAGGTGTTTAACACAAATTTCTCCGCATCTCTTCAAGCACTTCCCAGCAGCAGCTCCATAACTGATAACATATATGAAAAGAGAAGGAATGAAAGAAAAGTAAAAAGTTGAAAAAACAAGTAACATCCATTAGGGCGAAGAGTTTGTAACTTCAAAACATTTGGCGTTTGGGATTTTGATGTAAGAATCATATTTCTTTTGACGAGTGTGAAAGTTTGAATGTTTTGCTAGTTATGTTTATTTATTTTCACACAACTGTTTAAACTGGGTGTATACGTTGTGTGAGATTGATGTTTTTAATTGTTGATGATTGTGTCTGATGATATATGTGATTATTGATGTTTTTAATTGTTGATGATTGTGTCTGATGATATATGTGATTGGCTTTGCGCAAGTCAATTTGATATGTCGATTTCTTTAGTTTGCGTTGCCGATTGCACTTGAATAGAAATATTTGTTTCTCCACAAAGTCTAATCGATCCATCAGCGTATGTAGAAGCAGTTTTGCTTCAAATGGATATAATGTAAGCAACTTATTAATTTCGTTGCAAATAATTCAGACAACATTACGGCCATTGCTGTTTCAACTAAATCAACAACCAATGCAGACGCCTATATGTATGGTAGTTCACTGGCTTACTCAATGGCTCTACTTACAAAATCAACATGAACAGATATAGCTTCACCACATTCACTATTAACAACTAAATCAACAAGAAAGAGGCTAAGTTAATGGCATGATACTTCTCCATCTTTTCCCTAAACCTGCAAGACTCTTATTAAAGGAATTTGCAAATTGTACATATCAAAGCAAGACAAGCTGGCACAAATTCTCGATAATACAACGGAATTATATCCTGATCCAGCAAAACCAAAAAGTTCACCTTATAGGGCTTGATGAACCACGAACTATTAAATAATTGATTGAAATTTGAAAAGCATCTCTATAGTCCACTGAATTCATCATTTATCAAGAAAACAGAACCAAAAGAATTACACATGACAAACTACAATTGAGTCAATCTGCTGCCAACCATCTGCAAAACCTTAATCTGCCATCATAAAAGGGTCCTCATCACCAGTATCAGCTACTAGAGGTTCCAATTTCTCTGGGTCTTCATCTTCGGGTACAAAGTAAGTAGGAAACGGAAGCAAAGATATGTCTGGCTTCTTGTACACCGCATCTTTTATGAAAACAAAATTTCCAGTCGCACCCGGAACCTGCAAAAAAAAATTAAAATAAAAAAATACCAGTTTCAGAAGGCATTCAATCGACCTATAAGGTGATAATTCATCTAGTGAAAAGAAAAATACTAGATTTCTTTATCTTCCCTCTAAAAGCAATTAAGAACCCAATCTAAAATCAAAAAGTAAAAGACCAACATGTGCAGCACTATAAGCAGAACAGAATCTATTGCCTCCTATTTGAAATCCAAAGATACAATAGAAATATGCAACAGGAAGGGGTAAGAAACCATACTTGGCCTTTTACCCACAATAGGTTCCTTGCAGGATCAATTTTGTAAACCCAAACGCTTTTAACTGTTCTTTGCTCAACACCCATGTGGCCAGGCATCTTCTTTCCTTTGAAAACCTGTTTTAGAAAGCGATTAGCAATTATATGCATACCCAACAACAGAAACATATTCCCTTTTATCAAAGTTTCCGAAAGAGAGGGCGTTAACCGGGTGAAGCAACATAAACAAATGCTAAAAACCATTCCAGTGAGGAAATAGAGCAACGGGCAAGCAACAATTGACATATGAAAGATGAAGAAAGAAAGTGCATAACTGCAAGATGCACAAGCATTATAAAATGGGTATAGAACCATCTAATTTTGAAGCGCTTAGAGCTATAAAGAATAATGAGAATGGTACGCATTCATTAATCTATTCAACATTACCAATGCAAAACTCTAACATTAACAAGAAACCTGAAATCATATTTATAGTTTTAAAATTCGATGAATCTTACTGTGCCTCCATTATCAGATGGGCTTGGTGGAATAAAAATAATATCAACAAGTAGCAAATGAAATCCATCAAACTGCAGATACTATGCTGCTAAAATTTGGAAACTCTCTCAGATTGTAGGATACTGCAAAACTAGTTGGGGTAACATCTAATATAGGAATTGAAAACCCATACCTTTCCTGGAGCATCCCTCTGGCCAGTAGAACCAATGCTTCGGTGTGATAATGATGCACCATGAGATGCAGGCATACCCTTGAATCCCCATCTTTTCATCCCACCCTATAAACAGAAGAAAAAGCGACATTGCCTTATCATACAGCTCAAGAAAACAACATAGTTTTTTTATTTTTAAAACCTCATAAATGAGAGAATCTAGAAGAGAATGAAATAATACAGACATCTTGCACACTTAGTACGACCCCTTGAATGAGAGGAACTGTTTATGTTTTTATAATTGGTGCACCCCAATTATTCTTGCCTCAATCTACAGAATCTAAACACTTCAGTTCTAGAGGATACAAATTACTGTTGTGCAACGGACAGAGAGTTGGAAGAAACGATCATGGATAACATTATTTCAGAACGACATCCTGGGAGTATCCAGTCACACTAGCACAACCAATGCATATATAATCACATGCGTCAATCCAGAAACATATCTAAGCAAAGGAAGGGTCCATTTGATTTGTGAGAATTCCTTAAACACATTGCCACTGAGTAGAGAATATTCATTGTTGCTTAAGGGTACTGATATATGACACACACCCTCATTATTTTATGAAAAATAGAAGAGTTTAAAAAAGAGAGCAGATATCACATACAGGCACATGAAGGTATTAACAGTCACCTGAAACCCTTTCCCTTTAGTGATTCCAGTAATGTCAACATACTGCCCTGGAACAAAATGGCGGACATCGATGGCTGTTCCAACTGGAAGAAGAGCATCCTCGGTCACTGGAAACTCCTTCAGCTTCCTTTTCATTGGAACACCTTGAGCTCTAAAATGACCTACTTCAGGCTTCCGCAAATGTTTCTCCTTCTTTTGTCCGCATCCAATCTAGCTACCACCATAAGATTTTACCCATTAAGGAATTTCATGACTACAAGCTTCACGAATACTAGCAACTAGCAAGCATACCTACGGGAGAATGTGAAGGCAACATAATGGTCATAGAACGTAAAATCATACTACAATCAAATCAGAGTAACCCTTCATATACGATATCATCAAATTGATCTTCATTCAAGATAGAACGCACTTTGAGGGGAACGTAATATCAAAACAAAACACCCTAAAGTCATCAACTTTGAATTTAAAGGATCGCAACAACTAGCTGAAACATCCAAACATTTCGAGGTTGACTGAATCAATACAGAATATATGCATTTCGAAACGGAAGGCAAAAATGATTCAAAATTAGCAAATTTAGAACCTGAAGCGCACAAATGCCTTCTTTCTCAGGCGTTTTGACTTGAGAGACGATGTTATCGTCCAACCAAAGAATGGTTATGGGAATCCTCTCGCCCCACTTGTCCCACAACGCCGTCATCCCGCACTTAACGGCGATTGCGCCAGTCCGCTTAGAGTCGGGGGTCATAACACCGGGCTTCAATTCAATTACTCGAGAGCTCAATGAATCGACCTCTTGAGCAGCCGCGCTGAACATCTTCACGTCCGTAAGGCTGTACGCAGCCGCCGGAGAATGCGCGCGCGATCTGGAGCCGATGAAGAGTAACTGCGCCTTCAGACGAGAAACGAGGCCTCTCGACACGGCCGCCATTCCGTAAGGACGAATGGGTTTGATGGCACAGTGACGGTAGATTGCAGTTGGGGTTTGGCGTTCGGGGTTTTGATTTTGCCAATGGACATGCGAGGGCTCAGAGCATAATTAGCTGATGGACTGATGGTAGGGTTTTAGCGGGGAGAATGTTACTCTACTTCGCACTACACGTTAAGTGGGACCGGCTCACTTTTATCAATTTTATGGAAGGTTGTGACAACAGAATTGGTGAAGCTACATGTTCACTAGCAGGACCAGTGATTGAATTGGTCAAACCGACTTAATTAATATATAATTATTTCATTTATTTTATATATATAATATATAATTTTTATCATTAATTTTATAATGTATAATGACATTTCTCTAAATAATAGATACAACCGTTTGAATAATGTTAATAATTTTATTTTCATATATATTTTAATTTTTATATATTTTTATGTTATAGAAAAATATATATTGGAACTAGTGCGGTATCCCGTACGATGTACGTTTGATGTCTTTAGCTGCAATCGTGGCTTACAGCCATAGGAGTCATGGCTTACAGCCGTAGAAGGTTAAACCCTTACGACATTCGTCATCGGATTCCGAATGCCGGGTTTGGTTTGGGAAGATCGCTTATTCCTTCCTCCTTCCTTTTAGTCAGGAGTTCAATCGCTTCGCTCTTGGGAGTATGCATCGGTCCATCAAAGCAAAAGAAGAAAAAACTAAGAGATCTATTTCTTATACTTTACCCTTCTTTTAGAGAGTACCAGAGGTGATACCCTAAAAAGGAATTAAAGATGGAATAAATGCCCGAAATGTTAGTAATATTAAGGGAAACATTTTGGTTTGGAGATGGGATCATTGTAAAAATATAAAACGCATTTCTTGGAATAAAAAATATTATTTATATATTATTAATAACTTATTTGTACACAACATTCTTGGCTTGAGTTTTGGTACATCGTCATGTCCACAAATTAAAATTTTCACACTCTTACGATTTAAACGCGTGAAACAACTTCAAGAACATGCCAACATGCGATATCCTTCCCTTTTTTTGGTTAGTATAACAAAATCTGTTAAGATATGGCCTTGTTTGGTAATTAGCTGTTGGTTTTAGCGGATAGCGGATTGTAATAGCTGTTTTGACCAGCTATTTGTATTAGCTGTTTTGACCAGCTGATACTATTAGCGGTTCTAAATAAGATGTTTATTTAAATAGTTGGTTGATTTGTAAAAATATATTTAATGTTATTAATTTACTTATTTTGTTATATAGATACTTAGAAAGCAATAAATACCAATTATATTTATGTAATTATTTTTGTATAAATAAAAGTTGAATCGAGTCTTAAATTAAATTAAGTTTTTATACTTAATATAATTAAAGTAAAATAAAAGAAAGAATATAAATTAAAAATATTAAAAGTGTGGTAATTTACTTAAATACAATTTGGTATTTGATAATGATAAGAACCTTTATAATTTTTCCATGAATAAAATATAATAAGTAAAAGTAAACTAATTTTGATTTATAATTTGGTGCACCTAATTTGTTGGTTTGTTTTCTCAAACACTTGCATTTAAATAAATTTGTTGGATATCTTAACAAAAAGCTAAATGAGAAACGCTGCCCTTACCAACGTTGTGGAAATCAGCCTTTTGGTAAAAGA